GGTGTGGGGGGAAAGTCATGGTTGTCTCTCTCTTAGCTTCTAGATTAAGAGCTACAGACAATGAATGCTAAGAGACAGTCTTCAGTCTCCTGTTCTAAAGAGATGAACCCTTAATTGACAATACCCAGTGGTCATCTTTAAAAACAAAAATAAGCAACAATAAATAGGCTCACGAGGTTATTAATTAATATATTTATATATCATTATATGAACCAACATACATATATTAAGAAATAAAAGGAGCTTGGGACAAAGATATTCTTTATTAGAAAAACAAGAGCTAAACACAAGCAAGTGCGTGCCCAGGCCAACAAGGCAGCAAGGCCAGAGAGAAGGGCTCCCATTTGCTTTGTTGCCTCTTAAGAGCACATCCTGCATCATCCTGACCTCACCTTGACCACCCCTGACAGGTGTGGTCAGGCACATCTGTAGCCAGCCTCTAATAGGCGTGGCTAACTGTCCCCTACATACATACATACATACATACATACATATATAGTAATGTTAAGAAAAAAAAGTTTATAAATTTAGCTGGAGGAAATGCAGAAATGATGAAAATACAGTGAGTACACATATATTGAATTAAAAGATAATTTAAAAATAGCATAAGAAATACAAAACAGAAAAAAGAGGTCATTAGAAACATGTACATCTAAATATTCTCTGCAAACTACATGCATTCTGACTTGTTCATCTTATGAAGTCTCCAGAGCAAATATCTATACACAGGGTCTCTCTAGGAACGAAGTGTCCTCAATATCCTCTTTTCAATGGCTCTGTTTTCATTGTCAGGGAATTCCGAGTGTTTTATATTTCAACCATATGTTACAAATGTAGCTAACTTAATGTTTTAGAAGGCAATTAAAAAAATTCTTCTATGTGGCCAAGGGTAATGTACTGACCTTCCTAGGACTCCATTCCCTCTGGAAAAAATGTATATAATGTTGTTCCTGGCAATAGTGCTTACATGTGAAACCCCACTATTGCTATGAAACAACCCAAACTGTCTTTTCAGCACAGTGATAGGTTTTGATAAATCAAGCTTCCCATTTAGAATTCTTAAATAAATACATCCATGATAAGGATGCTGGATAAGATTAAGAGAGTATTTATGGTTCCAAGTTCGAGGTTCCAAGTAATCTCTTTGGCAGTACACGATGCTCTCCCTTGTTTGAGTGGAGATTCACTGTTCAAAGCAACAAGCCCTTTGATACTTAGAAATTTTGGATTCTGTTCTATTTTTAAAAGCAACTGTATCAGTATTCATCCACTGTTTGGCATGGCCATTCATTTATTTTCAAAAAGGCTATTTTATAATCACACTTCCTTCCAGGAAGCCTAGCAACTAAGTAGAAACCCAAATGACTGATAGAAATTATACAGGGACCTTCCTGTTGGTTAAGAAGCAGGATTAATTAAACTAATGTGCTAAATCTTGGGCAAATAATTATGCAGAGAAATGGATAAAAAGCTTCTTTATTTGTTTTTGGTATCTGTTCTGTTTTAATTTTCGCTGAAAGAAAGGCAAAGTATAGTAGAAAAGTATTTTTGTATTTGAGCTTTTAGTAAGACTAATTCAAATATTTTGCAATAGTAAGAAACAATGCCAGTTTCCATGAGTAAAATGACAATTATTCAAGTACATTGTTTATTAAAACTAAAAATCATATATATAATTCTTTACATCATGGCTAATTAGGAGTGGTTAAATATGTGGTCAAAATGTTTCAAAAGAAAAGGCCAATCTTTATGAAATAAATGTATCTTTCTAGCAAACATTTGCTTGATTTTTAAACCATACTAAGATCTGAAATGCTTTGAACTGGTTAAAATTCTTAGAGTGGTCATATGTAATTAAATTAAATTTATTTTCATATACAGCTCTATCCTTACAGTGTCAACACAGTTATAAAATAATATTAAAAGAGTTCAGAATGAAAAAACATTCATTATTATATCAGATGCTTGTTTGTGAGGTGCTATTATTCATCAAACTAAACTAAGAAATTTTCTCAGTTTGGATACAAAAACAGTTTCCTCAAGAGAAGTGTGGTTCACAGTATTTATAATAACCCTTCAGTTTCTAATTTAAAAACAAACAAACAAAAATGAAGGGGAATGAAGGCAGGGGAATGAAGAATAGCTAGGAAATTCTTAAAGACGTTAAAATTCTCATAGATATAAAAATCAGTTATATGGGAATGATGGTGGCCCAGTTGTCTCTGTAAGGTTTCACTATAGTGATTTCAGCTATTTTAGTTGTTAAAATTTTAATCTAAAACAAAACACTAACAACCTTAGAGTACCTTAGTACATAGTCATAATTTTAGAAATGAAGATATCAATGTTATTTCAAGCTATCTCAAAATTATGGACAGTGCAATATTCAGGAGGTAAACCTTGTTACAGAAAAATATCAACAGTATTTATTGCTATTATATTTGGGGAAATTCCATGTGGTAGTTTAAATGTCATTGGCCACCATAAATTTATATGGAGTGGCACTATTAGGATGTGTGGTTTCCTTGGAGTAGATGTGGTCTTTTTGGCAGAAGTGTGTCACTGAAGCAGTTGGTTTTGAAGTCTCATATGTGCCCAAGCCATACCCTTTTGTTCAAGATGTAGCCAGTAGCACCTCTACCTGCATGCAGCCATGCCCTGCCATGACGATAATGGACCAAACCTCTGAAAATGTAGGCCAGCCCAGTTAAATGTTTTTCCTTTATAAGAGTTGCCATGATCATTGCGTCTCTTCACAGCAATAGAAACCTCAAATAAGACACCTAGAAATCTCTTTAGCCAATAAGCTGTTCTGAAGAGCATTAGGATCTTTTTATTTTTTCAATTCTGGGAATTGAACTCTAGGTCTTATACATTTTGGGATGCACTCTACCACAAAGTTTTATAACCATCTTTTTAAGAACATTTTATGCTATATAATTTCATGCTATATAATCATGCTACAGTTTATGAGACTGGACTGCTTATCAGGAGTTAGTCTTTAATAGCACTAATAACAAAGAAAATTTTAAACTTTGGGTAATAAAAGCATGAAAATTACTTTTTTATTCATAAAACTATTGCATACACATTTCTTTCAAACTACAATATCTAGATCCTACTTCTAGATAAATGTATAAAAGTAAAGAGGACTTACAAGGTGTGTTAGCACACACCTTTATTTCCAGAAATAAGGAGGCAGAGGGAGGAGAAGTTCTGTGTGTTTGAGATCAGCCTGGTCCACATAGTGAGTTCCAGGATAGCCAGGAATATATAGAGATACTCTGTCTCGATAAAACTAAATAGCAATTCATAAGGACTGTGGGAATTTTAATAACTAATAACAAAAGTCACATAATGAAATTACTACCAAATTACACAAACACTTTTAGAAATGGCTTTCTGAAAGACAGAATAAATCTAGTAATCCATGCTGACTCTTTTCCAACTTGTTTTACTGGAGGGAAAATGGGAACCAGTAATATCTACACCAACGCCTCATGTTTATTTACATGCAGGAAAATGTGGTTCTCCACTAGAATGCTAGAACTTCTGCTCAAAAAAAGGAGTCAATTCAGACTTGAGCTCACAACCATAATATAGAGAGCATGAGACCTGCCCTGAAATGACTATGGCATGTACCTTCAGATAAGCTATATTCCAGGCTGCAAATCCAGTAGTCTACAGAGGTTCATTCTGTTATCTAACATACAATGCTTCGTCTCAAATCTGTGGTGTCAAGTTTGGGGTACAGCATCAACAGTTTCAGATCTGAGATTCATTTTTATTAAGACCAAATAATTAAAAAATAAAAAAGAACCAGAGGATTACATGCTAAATATATAGTTAAGTGGGAGTTATATAAATGACATATAAAACAAAGGAAAAATAGGAAATAAACTAAAAGAGAAATGCTGCCAAATTTAAAATACTGCAATTACATTCAAGCTTTGCTAAGAATAGATATATCACATAAAAGGCCCTAATCTCTTCTATACAAATTTAATGATATATTTCTCATCAATAATTTTCATTCTCTATATGTGTTGGTAAGATATGCTATTTAGATTTAAAAATAAAATGAAAGTCCACTGCAATTATTAAAAATTATGAAAAGTTGAAAATGGACAGAACATATTCTCTTTTTTTCATTTTAATTACTCCAGAAATAGTTTTGAAACCATATAAACATAACGAAAACAAACTCAGAAGGTTGTATTTATATATTTGTGCATACGTATAAATACACATAATGGATAGACAGATGAAAAACTAGGAAATAATTTTTATGCAATATATTCTGATTGGGTTTTCCCTTCCCCATCTTATCCCAGATCATCCTTACCTGCCCACACATTCAATTGCAGTCTTTATTCTCTCTTAGTAAATAAACAGGCAAATAAACAAACAAGAACAGCAACAACAAATAAAGAAGAAACACATACACAGAGACACACACACAAACAGAAAGAAAACCTAGAAAAATCACAAAATCTGAAACCATAATATACAAGCAAAAGACCAAGAAGATAAAAAAAAAAATACATGAAAAATGCCAACTAGACATCTTCTATCTGTCCCTTTTAGCCTTTCTATGGAATAGCAAGCTTTTATTGGAGGAGGAAGAGAAGGCTTCAACTTTATCAAACTCTACCCAGAGCTCAGCTTTATAAGATCTCATAGATAAAAAGCAAGCAGTAGTTCACAGCTAGTGATACTTAGTATATCAATGTATTGCCTTCTCTTTCATGCATCTTCATTTAACAATGAAAGTATAGCCCCAGTGTAAGCATGCATGCTTGTTAGCTTTGCCTTGCTGTTGCTAACTGCTACAGTCTGTTGTAAATACTAATTTTCATGTTATGTTCTTTAAGTTTCAGGCTAAAATATTTGATCAATTCTACAGACAAATGTTTTTTCATAAAATAACTTACTTTGGTTTCATATTATAGTAGTAAGCCCAAGTGATACCGTAAGCAAGATAAGGGTGACCCTCTTACCTTCAGCCAACACAGAAGCTCCAGCTTCTTCATCAGTACTTCCATCATAAATTGCATCTTGGTCAGTTGTTTTTTCAGAACATTTAGTTTCCCTGGAAACAGAGAAAGGCAGGACCAGAAATCATCAGTTCATGCTTGGGTAACTCACTTCTTTACCAGTAAGAAAATATAGAAAATATTCCTGGAAAAAGGTCTGACCAGACAGAAATAAAGACCAAGACCCATAAAAGAAATAGGGTTTATTTTATTTAGTAAACTGTTGTTTAGTGTTCACTATTGTTAATTACTCAATTACTTTATCACATTTAATTCTTCTATCAAAACATTATTGCACCAAGTTATCTCTGTGGGCCAGTGCTTAGCACTGTGCAAATCTGAAAGCAGTTCTACATTTCATTGAATTGCCCCAAAATTAAAGAAGACAGAGCTGATATGATTGTTCATTACCATATGCAAATATCCCACAGTGCCAGACCAGTACCTGACACAGGAAAGAATAAAATTAAATGTTACCTTCTTTACACTATGTGATTCCAAAACCTTTGCTTCATTTCAGAGTCAAGGCAAGTCAATCTAATCAATATGAGGTAATGACTAAAAACACTTAAAATTATCCAAACCTATACTTGCAACTTATAATCTATAATTTTTTCTTTAGGAATCAAGTATACAAATTGTTTCAGAAAGAAAAAAAGTAACAATGATGGAAATAAATAACACACTTTCATTAGACAACATAAATGCCATATGAAACTTAGCATTCATTAGCTGGATCTAAAGTTATCATTTCTTAGATGTAAAAAGTACAGTGCAACCAACTTACAGCTTTGGAGGAGGTGAAAGGTTTTGTTAACTGATCTATTTCTCAATTCATAATGTCTAAGAACTAAATAAATAAAGTAAACACTGACTTTCTTAGGGTTTTTACTGCTTTGAAGAGACACTATGACCACAGCAACTCTTATAAAAGAAGACATTTAATTGGGGTGGCTTGCTTACAGTTTCACAGGTTCAGTCCATTGGTGGGGAATGTGGGGGCATGCTGGCAGACATAGTGCTGGGTACACCTTTATCAGAAAACAACAGGAAGTGGACTATCTCTCTGGGAGGGGCTTGAACATATTAGAACCCTTCAGGCCTGCCTCCACAGTGACACATTTCCTCCAAGAAGACCACACCTATTCCAACAAGGCCATATCTCCTAATAGTGCCACTCCCTTTGGGGGACATTTTCTTTCAAACCACCACAAACCCCATACAATTTTTATAGGTTATGACTGTATGATGTACTTTAAATGAGACCATGGATGTCATGGAGAAATTGTGTGAAGAATGTACTCACCCACGCTAGAATGTTTAAACCCAGACATTCTACTTAGATTTATACCTGGTAGCTAAAGCATACAGAATGTACCTTTCAGGTTTCAAGTTCTTCTCCAGCTGCTGGATTTCATCTAACAACTTATGCAAGCTTCGGATCTTTGTTTTCTTCTCATTCAGCACCAAGATAAATCTTTGATACAGATCAGCCTCCAAGGCTTCTTTGGCAATCACACATTTCTCAAATCTAAAAAAAAAAAAAAAAAAAGAAAAAAAAAAAAAATCATAAGTCATATAGGTTTTATAGAATTAAACTTTTAAATCTTATCCTCATGATTTCAAGAAAACTTGAAGGTAGAAATAACTACGGTCATTTTTATATATGCTTTCAAAGATTTAAATATTCTAAGGACAGAATTGAACAACACATAAATGGGTAGAAATAATGCTTTTCAAACTAAATGTTCACACATAATAATTTATTACTATATTGCTTATTTACAAAATAATATTTTCATGAAAATTTCAATTGACCAAATGTATGGTTTCTTTAGTACATTAATTTTATTCTAAAAACAGCTACTAGAATATTTTATATTAAAGCAATACACCTAATTTGGTGTCAGTCGTCAGACTGTGACTTGTTCCACAGGAACATAATTTTTCAATTTGTTTCTTTAAAATCCACCACACATGCATGCAAACACACACACACAAACCTAAATAGAAATACATATGTGATGAACTGAGTTATACCACTTGATATGCCCAAGAAGATTATAAAGAAATGACACTAGAATGCTCTAATGCTCAAAGTCTTTCTTTCTTTCTTTCTTTCTTTCTTTCTTTCTCTCTTTATTTCTTTTTTTTTTTCTTTTTTTTTTTCTTTTTTTTTTTCTTTTTTTTTTTCTTTTTTTTTTTCTTTTTTTTTTTTTTTGGAGACAGGGTTTCTCTGTGTAGCTTTGGAGCCTATCCTGGCACTGTTCTGGAGACCAGGCTACCCTCGAACTCACAGAGATCTGCCTGCCTCTGCCTCCTGAGTGCTGGGATTAAAGGCATGCGCCACCAATGCCCAGCAAGGTATTTCATTTATTTCAATTCCCCAAAGAAAGGGAGAAGGCAAACTAGTAGAAGTTGTATATACCTGGTGTGTACATAAGCATGCCATGAATAAATTGCTATTTTACAAAGTTAAATTATTTCATTGAAAGCATTCTTTTAAATATAGTTGTGTTCTGCATGTTTTTATTTTTATGACTCTGTATAGTGGGAAATTACCAATACGGAGTCAGGTAGAAATATAAGGGTGTTTAATAGGGAAAAGCCTTACTTACAGAGTGACCTAGCCAGCCGGCGTGGCAGCAGCCTGTACAGCAAGAAGCAAAGTTAAACTGAAAGAGTAAACGCAGTCACACTACGTCACTCTGCCCACGCCCTCACAAGCGAGGTCAGGCACACCTGTAGCCAGCCTCTAAGCAGGCGTGGCTACAACTTTCCCTACAACTCTGCTTATTCTATAGGTTCCTAATAGTATTTTAAAAAGTGTCCCATGTGTATCCTAGTAATTAAATATGTACATATATGCACACATACTTTACAAGGAAATTAATGGAAAAGGAATTGTCAAAATATGATACTTTTCAGATAGGCCATTAATATGTCCCTCACCCCATGTATTTAAAAATAGAATGTATTCTAAGATAAAAACAATCATCTAATAATGCTATTCTGGAACGAATGAGTGCAGATTCTTTTACCATGGATTTTACTAAAGCTGTCCTTACATGAGGCCACAGAACATGTGTGTTCTACCAAGTGCTTTACTCTCAGTGCCTAGCAGAGATGTTCAGTGCACATTGATGAGTTAAGTGAATGAAGTCAGTTCATAGGGACAGGTTTGTTTGTTGATTTTTGTTTGGCACACTTACTGATTCATTACATGTCTCCAAGAGTACCTGTCCTTTTCAACACACCCTTTCATAGCTACTCTGAGTCTGTCTTCCAAGATGCCAGCCAGGCAGGCATTAGATTGGTTTGAGAGCACCATAACCAAACACTTTGAAGTTTTCTTCCTTGGAGATGTGCCTTTCTGCTGATAGCCCTTCCTTCCATGTATGTACTACTGGTCTCCCAGACAGGAAATTAGTCTGATTACTTCAGCAGCACTGTGTCCCTGCTAGGGGCTGAGGACTTTTTCTAAAGAACATTAGACAGGATATGTATCCCCTCAGGTACTTCACACTGGCAATAGGGAACTTGGAGAACTTGTTATGCCTCAGTGGATACAAGAGGCAGCAATGGTCTGTGGCTTCTCTCAGGAATGTCTGTTTCCTTGCAGTCTCTCAAATTTCAAAAGCTACTGCCAATATTTATGGTTCATTTCACACAGGGGTATGTTATTATAATTTCAGATGCAAATTGTTATGTGAACATTCTCTTATTTTCATATAATATCTTTTAATTAATGCCATAAGAAATTTAAATATGAATAAAACATATTTATATATATAAAAGATTTAGACATACAAATATGTAGAATGCAATAAATTTTATGTATATCACAATTTTTATAGAACAATTTAGAAATAGCAACAAATTCAGAAGCTATTAGATTTAATCCCACATTCAATTTTCAAATACACCTCCCTGAAGTTCTTGATTGAAAAAATATGAACATACATTTACTATCAAAACTATCTAGCTTTATGAAACTTTATGAAAACTATCATTTATATAATATGTTAAGTTTTGAAAGGTATCAAAACGAAATTGATATAATTTTTGTACAAGTAGTACTAGACTGCATAACTATACCACAACTATATCATGAAAGGTTACATCACTTCTGTTACAGGGAAAAAGTTGTACATTATGTAAGTTAAACTTCCTTGCTTTTATGCCTTCATTGCAATAAACAGGTCATCAAACCGGACAACACCTCCCAGAAAGAGTTGGGTTGCATAGCATAGTGTATTGTTATAAATAGCCATAGAACACAAACTGAGTTTATCAGTTATTACTTTCTCAACAGACTTGGAGAATATTAACCTGTTACTCAGTATTTAGGAATTAAGACATGCATAGCTTGTGGCCTACATTATTTTTAAAACTCATTGTCTACAGCATTATCATTTGCTATGCCTTACATATTACTTGCTCCATGCCAAAGTTCTATCTGAAAAATTGGCCAAAAATTATTAGGTGAGGCCACAGATCAATGAGAGACATGAGACACAATGCTACCCCAAGGACAATAAAACAAACCCACAAACCACTGAAGGAGAGGAATGGGCCTGTTTCAGTCCCCATTTTCCAGTGCCCTGCTCGGAGCAGCACATCCAGAATCAGTCACTTTTGAGGTGCTACTCCTGCCTCTGAGAGCCATCAGAGTATTGGACCTGCTTGCACCCACCCTATGGAGACAAACTCAATGCAATTCCTCTAAAATCAGGTACAAGACAAGGCTGTCCACTCTCTCCATACCTCTTCAATATTGTCCTTGAAGTTCTAACTAGATCAATAAGACAACAAAAGGAGATCAAGGGAATACAAATCAGAAAGGAAGAAGTCAAACTCTCACTATTTGCAGATGACATGATAGTCTACATAAGTGACCCAAAAAATTCAACCAGGGAACTCCTACAGTTGATAAACACCTTCAGCAAAGTAGCAGGATACAAGATTAACTCAAGAAAATCTGTAGCCCTGCTATATACAGATGACACATTGGTGGAGAAAGAAATCAGAGAACCATCACCCTTTACAATTGCCACAAACAACATAAAATAACTTGGAGTAACACTAACCAAAAAAGTGAAAGACCTATACCATAAGAATTTTGAGTCACTAAAGAAAGAAATTAAAGAAGATACCTGAATATGGAGAGATCTCTCATGCTCTTGGATAGGCAGGATCAACATAGTAAAAATGGCAATCTTGCCAATAGGAATCTACAGATTCAATGTAATCCCCATCAAAATCCCAACACATTTCTTCACTGACCTTGAAAGAACAATTCTCAACTTTATATGGAGAAACAAAAGACCCAGCACAGCAAAAAAAACAAAACAAACAAACAAACAAACAAAAAAAAACCACTGTACAATAGAGGAACTTCTGGAGGCATCACCATCACTAACTTTAAGCTTTATAACAGAGCTATAGTCCTGAAAACAGCTTGGTATTGGCACAAAATTAGACAGGTAGACAAATGGAACAGAGTTGAAAACTCTGAAATTAACCCACACACCTACAAACACCTGATTTTTGACAAACAATCCAAATATATACGCTGGAACAAACAGAACATCTTCAACAAATGGTGCTGGCATAACTGAATGCAAACATGTAGAAGACTACAGATAGACCCAAGCCTTTTGCCCTGCACAATACTTAAGTCAAAATGGACCAATGACCTCAACATAAACCCAGCCACACTGAACCTACTAGAAAATAAATCGAGAAATAACCTTGAATTAATTGGTACAGGAGACCGCTTCCTGAACATAACACCAGTAGCACAGACACTGAGATCAACAATAAATAAATGGGACCACCTGAAACTGAGAAGTTTCTGTAAGGCAAAGGACACAGTCACCAAGACAAAACAGCAGACCACAGACTGGGAAAAGATATTCACCAACCCCACATCTGACAGAGGGTTGATCTCCAAAATATACAAAGAAATCAGGAAGCTATTCTCCAAAATACCAAACAATCCAATTAAAACTGGGGTACAGAACTAAATAGACAATTCTCAATAGAGGAATCTAAAATGGCTGAAAGACACATAAGAAAGTGTTCAAAATTCTTAGTCATCAGGGAAATGCAAATCAAAACAACTCTGAGATACCATCTTACTCCTGTCAGAATGGCTAAAACAAAAATACCAGAGATGCAGAGAAAGAGGAACATTCCTCCACTGCTGGGGGGGAGTGCCAACTTGTACAGCCACTTTGGAAATCAGTATGGCGACTCCTCAATAAAATGGGAATGAGTCTACCACAAGATCCAGCAATTCCACTCCTAGGCATATACCCAAAAGAAGCACATTCATATAACAAGGACATCTGTTCAACCATGTTCATAGCAGCATTATTCGTAATAGCCAGAAACTGGAAGCAGCCTAGATTCCCCTCAACTGAAGAATGGATACAGAAATGTAGTACATTTACACAATGGAGGACTACTCAGCAGAAAAAAACAATGGAATCTTGAAATTTGTAGGAAAATGGATGGAACTCAAAG